CACTTTCAAACAAATATATGTCAAAGCACCGCTCGATTCGACTTCGTCTTAATTTATTGTTCTGAAACAACTTTGGTTCTGTGACTTCGACACGTTTTAATCAACTTCTATATTCACTGGGCTGACATTGTGAATTTGTATGATTGCACTAATAAAAGCTAAGATACATCACTGATAGAAAATTTGAATTGTTGAAAGGGTAAAAGTTTCCTTCCTTGTTTTTCCCCGGTATGACTTCACGTTGGACTTTCTCATAGGTGATGCTGCTCGATAACCGCATTACTGGTTTATCGCTCCTTTACACTAAAATGCAATTATTTTTACACATTTTGTATGTACAGTTTGTATTTTCGGCATTTGAAAAAATGAACTACTGAGTGTGTATAGTAAAAAATGGGAACTTTTGAATGAGTTTTTATGATTTTGAAACGTAAAACGACTAGCTCTGCGTATTAAAGTTTTATATTATTGTGAATTCTTTGATTTTTGAAATTATTCAAGTTTTTTTAGAGTATTTAACTGTTTTATGTATATTCCTTCCGAAAAGTGATTCTATTAAAACACGAATAAACAATATACCTATGTTGGTACTTGGTATGACTAGAATTTACAAATTGTCATGTATGAGTGTTTGTTATGTATAGACAATGACAAAACCTCATGTGTCAGAATGTCTCATTGTTTGAATCATAATAGCAGCAACCTGTCACAAACTCTTTGCCAACTTGGCCCTTCCTATATATCAATATATCTGGCGCACATGATTAGTATAGATTGCTCACTGGTTATCAAGTCCACAGAACATAGTTAGGTGGCAGAAATGATAGAATAAACCAATTTTCTCGACATAGCATACATGTCACTGGTGACCGACTACTAATTCTCAAAGTGTTATTTTTCGTAATTCAATAATCCAATTATTGGTGTGGCTCACGTTTACTTCATTCAATGATTTATTTTTTATGACCAGTGCGCTCCTCAGCTTTTCATTTTAAGGGAGCGGTTTCCAAATCTAAGGTGTGGTAGATATTTTACTATTAACGATAAAACTATTTGTACTTATAAAATAAATCTTATATTTTTTTGACTGGCCGCATGCACTGGTATGTATATACGCCACATCAGAGTTGAATCAATTACAGTAATTCAGTTCAATTACCATTACAATTACTCTCTTAAATTTTCCAATTACATTACAATTACTTCGTGCAAAAAAATATCAAATTACAGTAACATTTACAATTACAACAAAGCAATGCTCAAATAAATAGACACATTACACAGAGCGAAGCAGTCCTTGCCCTTGACGCTACTGCTACCTTCAAAAAAAATATCCGAGTTTCGCGTAGCAAGAATCAAACCAGACAGCCGGTGTTCCCATGGATAAAATAATACGGCAAAATCTTGGACGAAATATCGGATTTCATACAAAATGTAGAAATAAAAAAAGTAAAACCTTCTAGAAAAAATTCCATCTTCAACCACTGAAAATTTCAGAGCATTTGGTCGAGTAATCGAAGAGAAAAGCGACTTTTCAATAACTATGTCAAAGAACAAGAACGACAACACAAAATACCAAAATTTTTGGTCAAAACGATCATTGTGTCCACTAACCTGTCCAATAACATTTTTGTTCGTATTTACAGTTTCCCTTGCTCAAAACCTGTTGGATTGCGCTTGATAAAAACTAGGCTGCGAAAAGGTTCTGACCCCAATAAATTTCTTCTTGCCGTATAAAATGTACCCACAATTGAAAAAACTCATTCTTACGGGGCTGATGTTGCTGTTAGTCCCAAATGAAATTTGGCTAAAGAAGCAGGTCTGGAAAATTCTTCAGATTTCTTCTTCCTATACATTAATGGGTTTTCGTCAAAATGCAAACTAACGAATAGCATTCGAAATCGCAAAATGAGGTATTGTTTAAAATCACGACTGAAAATTTTACTGAGTGTCTTAACCGATGCGTAAAGACATATTGATACGTCATTTTTTGCATCTTGCTGATTGGCTAATGTCATGAAATGAAAAAGGAAGGCGACTCTCGAAAAACGACCCTTGGAAAAATATTTCGCCGTAGTTCGGTGACCACTGGTCTAATGGAAAGAATGAGTCAAAAATAAGTCAAAATTTTAGCAAATTACATTTACAATTACACAGCATGAAAATGCCTGAATTACATTACAATTACATGGAAAACTGTAATTAATTACATCAATTACAACTACAAATTACAATTGATCCAACTCTGCGGCACATTATGGATATTCAGATACAATTTTATGTACTGTATGTACTAATCAAGGCTAAGATAAATCACTGATTGAATACGGAATTAGGAGTTTCATTCAGGTTATGTTAACGTCATTAGTACGCAAATGACTATAATTCAGCTACACCTAAATATGGACTAAGATTTTTGTTGATTCTTTGAAACCAGATTGGTAGCTATTATTTGATGTAATACCTAATTTTAAATAGGACATCATATACACTTCAAATGAGTAATACCAGTCCTAATGAGACTATCAACGGGCGACTTAATTTAAAAAGACTTGGCAGCTGCTCCCACAATCAAAAAAACGTAACAAATTTTTCCAAAAATTCGGCAAGATTCGAAACATACGCGTTATAGCAGCCACGTCGATGCATGAGTATGAAATTATGTCATATGCATATGAGTAAATTTCAAACAAGATTATGTATAAACTTGTAAATCAAGATTGTACTCGATCACTTGCTCAAAATTGACTTGTCGAACTATAGCAGAAATTATATATATATATCCTATAATCTATGTATTTACTTAGGCATGTCGTTATATTTTCAAAAACAAATATGATATTGCAACCAGAAAGTAACTTTGTGATATAAAAAATGTTGTCACGTTCGCCGTAAATTTCAATTTTATGTAAAAGACCGACCATAGCTTCTAGAATGCATTGTCTCTGCCTAATACATTTTCCGACCATGATAGGTTGCCGGTTTCTCATATTTTAATTGTTTCCCATGCTTCCTCTATCAGAGTAATGATAATAAGGCCTCTCAGCCTAGCTTAGGCTTGACTATTATCATATTCAATTCAGCAGTATTTTTGACATAGCCATATATAAAATATATTATCATTTTAATATTAATATGATATATATATATTTATAGGGAGGTCGAATGTCAAAAAAGTTTTGGTTGAAATATCGGCCCTCGTAGGACTCTGAGAAAGATGTAACAACTTTCTAGAAACCTCTTCAATTTTCAAGAATACTGCAAATTAGTTCATCAAATGTGTTGAAATGCAAAGTTACCAAAACTATTCCAATTCCATATAGAGATACGATAAAGTCATTTTCAATTGTGTTCAAAAATACTGTACAAATCGTAACAGATAAACAAGTAAGGGGAAAATATACGGTGGCACTTGTAAATTTGTTCATACATAACGTGTGAGCGTGCATTTTTAAATACATGCCTAACCGACGTTTTATTACATGACAGGCGCGTTGGAGAAGACACATAGTTTAACCTTACTAGCGTAATAGAACGAGCAACATTGTTCTGTTATTTCTTAATAATCCTGCCTACGTATCCTGAACATCATCAAGGCTTTATTATATTATCTGACGACTGTCGACCGGGCTAGGAAGAAATTGGTATCGTTTGGTAGTACTTATGATTAGGTATGATGAATTTGATGTTACCTTGCTATTTTACAGAGACAGGTCGACATCTTTAACAAGCTTTCTGAAATGTGAAAACGGTCGCAGACAGTTTAGAGTTGATTAGTGACGTGTGCGGTAGTGTTTCAAAGCAACGGGCAAGAATATAGTTTGAATGCAAAGGAATTGGAATGAAAAATTGTAGTAAACTTCGATCTTATCTATCGCTCTTATTATTTTGGGTCGCACACGAAGATGCCGACTAGCACCGAACGCGCTAAATTCAATATAAATGTTGTGAATCAGGGTATATAATATATATATCTCTCTTTTGAAGGCTGCTTTTAATGTGAAATCTGTGTATATTTCTAAAGACTATTTTAAAATAGCACTGCAAAAACATTTTAAATATATATCGTTTAAACTAAATTAACAGACTGAATACATTGCTGCATAAGTGTTGGAGTCACTTTATTTCTCACTATATGCGAGTGGAGGAAGAAAATGACATGGTGCAAAGTCTGGCTAACTGAACTCATGTACTTTGCTGAAATAAAAAGCATTGTTCTGCAAACGAGTTATTTTTTAAAAGTTTTGTGAAAACAATACATTAAAAAAAGTGGACAACATCTCCACCTTCTCTTCTTAAAATTCACGCTAGATCGAAAAAGTCGCTAAAAACGGGTGCAATTTTTTTAGGCTAATTGTGTTAGCTCCGCCGATGGTTTTGAATGTTTATAGCGAATTTAAAGGATATTACTAATATTGGAGTAAAATCATGGGGGTCAATGCTATATGTTTTTTCACGCGTGATGTGTTTATTGAGGGAGTGAACATCCATATCTTAACGGTTAAAAAAGGATAAGGAGGTACATCGCGCAAAAAAGTTACCCGTGTGTTAACTTTATTGAAGTGACTATGGTCTGGTACCGATGTGCGATATTATTTGTGTCCATATTTGCGAGTCATTCATTGCTCATGTATTTAATTTAATATTGCATTTGAAGTTTCGTAAACGGACCTTTGGTAAAAATAGTTGAGTAGCCCTGTCATAGAGAACTAAAAATCGAATGCAGATTCTATTAGCCCAGGTTGGCTATTCCTGAAAACTGAATATTAATGTTATGGGCTCACAATATAACTCATGCCGGGTGTTTTTTGCAAACTGCCTGGACAGTATTACAATTTATGCTGCCTATATGTCAGAAAAGTTAGTAATTACCCTCCTGTATCTCACATTTGGTAATCAATCAATCTGCAGTTATTTTGTAAACATGAGTTTGAAAAGAAAGCTGGCGAATCCAAACAGATTTTTAACTGGATGTGGGAGGGAAAATACCACAAAGTTTGCTCGATATGTCGACAAGTTATGTTGGTGACAAACGAATATAATTTAAAACGGCATTTTAGAATCTTGTGAGCAGTGAGCATTTTCCAAACTTGAGATTTTGTTTAAAAATCTTACCGATGTTCGAAAGCACTTACATTTGAGAAAGCAATTTTTCCGTTATAAAGAGTTTGAAATCTTATACTAAATGTAAATATAGAAAGATTTTTGCATGTTTTAGTAAATTTATTGGTGGTTTTTGCATGTTTTAACCTGATGAATGTCAAACACTGATCAATTTATTTGCACATCAAAAGTGTTTTCTTTGTATTACACTGTTTACCTATTCTTGGCACTATTGTGTCCCGCGAACAATGCAAAAATAATTTTGGACCACCCTGTACTAGAGTCTAAGTGCTTTTATTTTGTTGTAATTCGACGCGAACGCTAGTTATGTTGAACACAATAAATAAGGAGGACATTTTAGATGCTCGTATCGGTCACGAATTGAGTCATTATCCGCTGATAAAGTCAGTTGTTTTTAACGAGTGGCGTGGACGTTGCGACCGCTTCAAAAGTCGTTGCATGGGAATATCCGATTCCGATTCTAATCTGCGTTACGTAACAAAATAAATCGAGCGGACGTTTTGCGCACATTATAAATTACGATTAAATTAACTGTTTTGTGTATATTCCTTTTAAAAAGTGATTCTAATAAAACAACAAATAAACCAAAAACCTATGTTGGTACTTGGTATGACTAGAATTTACAAATTGTCATGCATGCGTGTTTGTTATGTATAGACAATGACAAAACCTCATGTGTCAGAGTGGCTCATTTTTTGGATCATAATGTAAGCAACCTGTTGCAAATCTTTGCCAACTTGGACCTTCACATTATATCCATATATCTGGCGCACATCATTAGTATAGTTTGCTTAATGGTTGTTACTCCCACTGAACAGAATTACGTGGCAAAAAAGATAATATGAACAGATTTCCTAACATATGAATTAACAAATCACTACTCATTTTCAAAAGGGCGTATTTTTAACAGTTCATATGAATCCAACTATTGTTGTAGCTCATGTTAACTCCATTCAATAATTTTTTATTCGTTTTGCTGTGTATGGCCCCTTGTATCTGCTATTATTTATTAATATCTTTCACTTTATACTATCAAAGTACCGCGCGATTCGTCTACATCGAAATAACTTGTTCTTATACAATTTTGATTTTCGCAACTCTGACGTATTTGAACCAATTTTATGTATGACGGCTCTGATCACGGTTAAGATACATCACTGATAGGTTTGGCAGCACCGCTGTGAAAAACGGCTTAAGCACGCAATTAGTACGCAAATAACTATAGGTCAACTATACCTATAATTATGGGATTATTGTTGATGCTTTGAGACCAGATTGATAGCTATTTCATACACACTTCAAATGAGGAACACGAATCTTAATGCGATTATCAATGAGTGACGCTGCAAATTTCAATTTTACGTAAAAGATTATTGCTGCTATAATGCATTGTCTCTGCCTAGTTCATTTTCCGACCATTAAAGGTTATCGGTTTCTCATATTGTCCAATTATTGTCCATGCCTCCTCCATCAGAGTTATAAGACCTTTCGGCTTAGCTTGAGGTAAAAATATGAATAACATCATGATCGTTTCTGCAATATTTTTGACATAGCCATATATAAAACATATATTGTCATTTTATTAATACGGGTAAATGGCTTAAATATATCTACAGGGAGGTCAAATGTCAAAAAAGTTTTCGTGAATTAAAATAAAATTTTGGTTGAAATATCGGCACTCGTAGGACACAGAAAAACAAGTAAGCAACCTGATGATATGAAAAAGCCATATTCACTTTTTCAGTCATGTTTAAAAATACTGTAGAGATCATGACAGAGAGTCAGAGACACCAGTAAGTGAAGAATATACGATAGCACACTTGCAAATGTGTTCATACATATCGTGTGTTTATGCATTTTAAATGCATGCCTAACCGACGTTTTATTAGGCGCGTAGGAGAAGACACATACCTTAACCTTACTAGTGTAATATTGAGAAAGCAATATTGTTTTGCCAGTTATTAGTAATCCTGCCCACGTATCCTGAACATCGTCAATAGCGTGATAACACATAGTCCCTGCCAGACTATGACTCTTGGCTGTTTACCGGGCTACGAGGAAATTAGTATCGTCTTGGATAACAATCAGCTAGGTATAATAACATGTATGAATAGGTTTTAGGTGTTTGATGTTACGTTGACTTGCTGACAGACGCAGGTCGACATCATGAACAGACTTGCTGAAATGTTCAAGCGGCAGTAGTCAATTTATAGTTGATTAGTGAGGTGCGTGATGAGAGAGTTTCGAAGCAACGGGGCTAAACACTACTGATCTCAACTGGAATTTATGAGAGTGAATTGGGATGAAAATTTCCAGATATGCATTTTTTTTAATTGTGAATCAATTCATCGATTTTCTTCTGAATCGCAGCCATGACAGTGACATATTTTTGCATCCTATTTCTCCTCATCCATACTGTCTTTCATTTTTCGGGAGCATATGTTCATACTATAGCAATCAGATAACTTCACATGAATTGCACCGAGTGCGCTAGACGTATTTTCTCGGTAAAAAAAATGTATTTTGAATAGAGTGTACCCGTATATATATATTTGAATTGTGTTGTATACAAATGATTTTGAAAGTTAATCGAACGCTCCATCGCATTTTACGAAGATTCAGTGTGATGTACTTTTCTTTATATTCGTGAGGAACCCTGCCTGATATATACGAGTAGGAGGAATAACTGAAAACCTCTTAGGACATTTAGCGATAACACAAATTTAGGACATAGCTTTTCTTTTCTAACAATGTAGGCGGTTACTTTAATATACTTAAGAGCAATGGGAACTCACGAACTCATTACTTATCGATCTTGATCGGTAAGTATGTTGATAGGTAGGTATACTTTGTTTGTCTGTCTGTTAGATGCACGCGATATCTCACGAAAACGAGGTTGAATCTGCTCCAAATTCTGCATGTGCATTCATCATATCTCGGACGAGAAGCCTATTGATTTTGGATGAATTATGTCGTATAATTAGCGAGGTAATAATTAATTAGTGACAGGACAAGCAGTGTCACTATAGAGTCATGAATTGAAACCGCAGTTTCGATCGATATGTCTTCGGTCTCCGACCGATATTCTCGTTTATAGGATTAACATGTTACAATATTTTTGAATATTCTATAGTCTATAAGCTACTAAAAGAAATTATAGCATTCAAAAATCATTTTGACAGAATAGTCTGAGCCATAACATCAAAGTCCACATCTGACATCGTTTCGTGTGTTTATCCTGACAAAACTGTATGCGGAAATTCGGATGGAAATATTAAGAGAGGAAAAATGAACGTATCCATAATATTATCACTCTGTATTCTTATGACGATACTACTTGGAGTCTCTCAAGCGCAAAGTAAAATTATTTGGTTAACATAGTATTTTCATAGCTTGCTATTAACATACCGATGTTGTCCTTCATTATACTCGCTTATTACTCATCGATCTTAAGATCGGTAAGTATGTTGATAGGTATTTGTCTGTCTGTCTGTCTGTTAGATGCACGCGATATCTCACGAAAGCGAGATTGAATCTGCTTTTGCATGTGCATTCATCATATGTCGGACCAGATGCCTATTGATTTTGGATGAATTATGTCGTACAATTAGCGAGTTATTAATAAATTATTGATGGGACACACGGTGTCACTATGGAGTAAGAGCGGATGAATCAAAACCGCAGTTTCTGTTTTGGGATCCCCTAACTTTCGATCGATAAGTTTTCGGTCTCCGACCGATATTGTCGTTTTAATCTTATCGATATTTTTCCTGCAAAAGAAATGAGATAACATAATATTATTTAATGCTATTGATACTTTTTTATTTTTTGCACTAATCAGAATAATCTTTCGCTTATACTATATCGAAATTCTACAGGCTTTATTCATGTGTTCCCGTCGGTAATTTGTAATACTCAGATCAACATTCTGCAGTAAAATCACTGATATTTATATGTTTTCAACAATCAGTGATCGATTTGCTAGTATTCTTTGTGTTACAGTGTTGCCAACTGTTAATATACTGTTTATTATAAAATTCTTTTTAATTATCAAATAGATCCAAACAAAATGCTAACAAAATGCGTAGATCAGTATGAACTGACTTTTTTCAATGATACCCCAATGAATTACGATGAAGCAAAAGCTGCCTGTGAATCACTAGGAGAATACTTGGCAAAAGTTGATAATCAAAAAATGACTAACGTCATTAATGCCACAATCGAGTGAGTTTATAAATTCAATCTTGGGTTCAACGTACAAGTCTCCTCAACCAAATCGCGTCGAGTCACGGGTCGATTCCGTGTCACTGCACCTCCAAGTCAAAATTCAAGTCGAGTCACTGCTAAACCTAGTACGAGTAATATTAGATTCGATAAACAGCGGTAAAATAAGTAATTATGAGTGACGCCGACATTAAGACTTGAAATTTCTACCTCGCTTAACGTAATATGAATCTAATCAATACCTCGAGGTTTACGACTGGGAATATTTTATAAGCATACCACGTGCCTAATCAACGTAGGCCATTTATCTACTAATCGGATACCCTAATAAGTAACCGAAACAGTTGTGCAATACTTTAGCTCTTTTGTAAACTTTCAACAATTACTAATTTTAGAATTGATTTTCGAAAAAATTACTACATCGGAGGAAACGACAAAGGCAAGGAAGGAGATTGGAAATGGCAAGATAGTACTGATGTGATAATGAAAGAAGAAGTGGGATATCACAACTGGTAAGAGATAAATTCTAAAAATCCAACCAATTGTGTGTTTCTAGCTTATCCTATGTAAACATCATAAAATCTGCATATCGGCAAATCTCTCATAACGCATTGTCAGTCGAGACTCATTTGTATATCTTCGAAATTTTAATTAATTTTATCAGTAAAGTCGAATTGATTCTACGTGGAAACGGAGAATGAACATGAATGGATAATTTATAGATACAGGATTCTCTAAAGCTAATCGATTGTATTCGAATACCTTTTCGGCTGATTTTCGAATAATTCCGGCATAAGCTACTTTTTGCAGTCAGCGGGGTATTTCGTCTTAGTGGGAAATCTTCCAACGCTTTTTTGCGCTTGTCAGCTATCGCAATGACGGTGAAATAGTATTGACACTTTGATTGATTATTATCTTTTATGCGACCGTGCGCCTCATATTCTTGCGACAAAGGGTGTGCACGGTTGCGTGATCGGCACGGTAGCCATTGCATCCTTTGCAAGGCTTCTAATTTACGCATTCATTTGCATTAGATCACGCGCCTTGCATAGATCAAACAATATTCAGATATTAAATAAGTCGTGCGCTTTGTTAAAAATTATGACACCCAAATTGACTGTCGCAAGCAAGTTGACTTATAGGAAAAGACAATTTATACTTTTACGACTTTTTTCGCAAATAATTTTAATAATGATAACTCAAAGTATCGACATTTTACCAGGATGACTTTCTGTTGCGCAAATATACAAATCCATGAACGATATCAGCATTTAAAATGCCTTACCGTATTAATTTAATTGTGTTTAACGTAACTCATTGTTGTGTCGACTTAGAAAAAATAAAAGCATTATTACTATAAAATAATACCGCGACAAATCTGTGGACACAAAATGTGTCGTAAACTGCTTGATTATAACTAATTTTTAATTCGTATTTTCGTACTCATGTGAAAATAATTTATACTTTTCCCGCTCTTTGGCAAATAATTTTGATAATGATAGGTAAAAGCATGAACTTTTTATTAGAATGATTTTCTGTTGCGCAATATATTCACATCCATGACCGATAACAGCATTTAAAATTCCTTGTCGTATTAATTTAATTCTGTTCAATGTAACTTTGAATTATTCGGTATTGGCCATATATATATACGTTTTTAAGGAAATCTAATCAGCCGAACAATGCTGGTGGGGGAGAAGATTGTATGTTGGTAGGAAGAGAAACTTATCAATGGATAGACAGCAGTTGTCACGAGAAGTTAAATTATATTTGTCAAACAGGTAATTTTTAATATAAATTCTATTTCCTTGAGAAACATCAATTATACTGTGTAAGACACATTTCCTGTTTCTGACTTTTAGTAATTATTCACTGATTTACAGTTTACGCCCCAAAACTAAAGGTTTTTGAAAAAAAGGGGATTCCCGCAAATCTTTTTTTTGTGATATCAAACAGCGTAATACTTTCATTATATGACATAGTTTGGTGTCATTTTCCGGCGCTGCGAAATTGGATTGTTAACGTCCTTACCAACAACAGGTATAATAAGTGGAAGATGATGACAATTTATGGGGCCTATTCGTTATATCAACTTGGACTGTAGTTGGAAATTAAAAAAAAAAATCCTCTTCTTGATTACGTCATTTTAGTCGTGAAAATGTTGTTTAAAATGAGTTTGTATGAATGTAATAAATATTTTGTTATGTAGAATACAGGGGACACATCATTCGAATATGAAAAACACTAAACAAAAGCACCAGACTATATTATACTGAAAGCTTTACGCTGTTGAGATGCATAAAATAAGAGGATATTGATAATAGAATTATAATTGAAATAAGAGAAAAGAAGTGGAAGTCAATTAATATTGAATTATGTTAGTTAACTATCTGTTGCGGACAATTGTTTTGGTTATAACTTATTTAAAATATTGAGAGGGGGTTTCATTCGGTGGTTTTCTGGAAATAAAGATTAGAAACATTCCTGATAGTTTTAGGCTAGATAGACCAATGCATGTAGCTGTCTTTGTTGTTGCCTACTGAGCAAATGGTTATTAACCGAGATTCGTAGCCACCCTATAGGGTTCCACCAGTTCTATTCAAATCCGAAAGTCTATATTAGGATTTGTATAAACGTAGTTCAATCAGACAAAGCTCTGACATGGTTGCAACAGCACTTTGAGTCGATACAATCATAACAATGTTACGAATTCGCACAAATGACTTTAATTTAAATTTTCTAATCCAGAGCACTCGACTCCAGAAATCGGAATTGATGATATCCCGTCACTTCACGCAAAAACGTGTCGAGTAGATAACTGTGTGATTGCAGCTGCAGAATGGTATAAGAATTCTTCTCATGCATCCGTTGCAAGAGATTTTAAAAAAAATGGAATTTATCAGATAATAGATGGAAGTTCATCCACACTGTACTTTGGCAATGCAACAATAGCGGACATAGGGAAATACTTTTGTCGCGCTCATAATTCAAGCAAAAAATTCTTCGACTTTAAAGGTAAACACTCATATTTCCTAACATTAAATTCCAAAACTTGGAGCCACTTTATCTTTGGTCATTGATAGCTTATGATCAAATTTTCGTTATAATTTTTTAAATTGGATCTGCAATAACAGTGAACTTCAGCAACCATTTTGCTTCATATTAACAACATTTTACTAGTAACAGCGAAATGTTTTTGTCAGACGTTGTACATTTGAACGCATATCCAAATTTATGAACGCAATGAAAGGCTAATAGTCAAGGTTGCTTTCATCAGCGTCAGCATACTGTAATTGCATAGTCGATACTGCAATTGCAAAACTGATTTCTGCAGTCAATTTGAAAGGATAAATAGGTAACTAAAATGTATCTGTCCCTTTTGAAATTTCTGCACTGTCTTTACACTAGAGGGAAAACCAACAATTACATCGATTACGAATTCATCATGTAACCAGAGTTTGATCGTTACTTGGAATCCAAGCAAATATGCAGTTGGCTTTCAACACAAGTACGTCCTATATATTTTTCTTAAAAAAGTTTTACTTTATAATAATTTTCAAAAAGTTAATATTCGCAATTTATTTTGACAAACGCTCAAAAAACAAAGATTCATCATTTCAGCTTTTGCGTAATAATAATAGTATACGTTTATGTCGTGGTGCACATACTTATTACGAGGAACTCGCCCGGTTTCATACCAATAATTTCCTTTCATTACAGAATCACAGCAAATAATTCTAATACTAAGGAAGAAAGTTTCAAAAAATTGATCAAGCCCAAGTCAAATACGCCCATGACGACTGAAATTTTTAAATTAATGACAGCTACTGAATATCATGTAACGGTGAGTCGTTGCTAAGCTACTGCCATTATTCTTCATCGAAACCACAATTAATCGAGATCTCGCGTATATATAAATAGGAAGGACATCGAGGGGTAGATTATGGTCAAATGTTTATGTATATAGACACAGCGCTAGGGGGTGGTAATACGTCGCATTTTCTGCTATTTTAATATGAAACTGGGAAATTCAAAATTTTCCGGAGATATGCATATACGCAGACCCATCAGCCAAAAAAATGTAAAAAAAGTTGCAAGGTCTCAGTGCTTATAAGCAGCTATTCTTGAAATCCCTTTCTAAAAGAATTCCAGAATTCATACTAATTCATCATTGCATATTATGTATCAGATCGTAGTTTGTGCGTCGGACGATAAATGCCTCTTTGGATATTCAGCCAACGCAACTGCAACAACAGATGGAAAAACCGAACCTGTGACATCTGCATCTCTATTGACCAAATGCTCCATGCAATGGATTTGGAAAAATAATAATCAACCAGAAAATGTTACAGGTTTAAAAGTAAGTGAGGTTATAACTTGAGCAATACAGAAATGTCCACTCAGAATAGGTCGTTTCCTTTAAGTCGGGTTCATGTAAAATGTTAGTTATGGATTTTTTCAATTTAAAAAGTGTTATATGTTGTTGAAAGCCTTCCCCATTTGCCGGACCTATATCAGTACTAAGTACTAACACACTTACAATAATTGGAGCAACATCAGCTACAACTATATTTAACCAATGAAGTTTTACTTGTTACCGATCCTTGGAATATATATTTCAATTATCCGTCTATTTTTCAGGTCACCAGCTATTGCACGACAATTGCAACACGATCGAACGTAAACTCTCCCCATATAGACTCATTTAACATAGGAACATCGATCCCGCAAACTTTTACTTCGGGACCCAACAGAAACTGCACGGTATCAATACAAGTATTGGGATGTGCAGGGTTGAGCGAGACAGTGAATGCAAGCGGGTATTGTGTTGGAATGTCAGCAGGTTTGTATATCTTATAAATTTCGCGCAATATTCAAAAAACGTGAAGCAGGAACTCATTTAAAGTAGAGGAATTTACATTTATAAATGCAGTCGGAATCCATCAAATTGTGATCAAACAGCAGGACATAAACGCAAAGGTGCACGCTACGGTAGCTCATTATCTTCTTTACAGGAAATAGTTGTTTATAAATTCATGTCAGTAAAAGCTGTTCTGTTGTCTCACCGCTACTAGTTAGATAAGGATAAGGTAGCTTAATATCCCACATTCTCTGTTTATCGTAGTATGAAATGGGACAAAGGAGTCACCAAGTAAGCCTATTACATGGGGAGTGATATATTTAGGTTACGTAAGTTTTGTGCCAATTTGAAATCATATGTGCTCGCGCTTTTTTTCACTGCAATGGCAATTTTACGCAACTTTCGATCTTTATTATTTTATTGTAACAGATCAATGTTATCACGCTGCAGTTTATTGTTAGTTCAAAGGTTCAGATAACATTTTTTTATATAAACCGGCATGTGGCAACTCCCACTCTGATATTTTTCAAAACAAAACATTCGGAATTATAGCCACAATGACACCAAGTTCCGCATATGACTATTGAATCATTATTTATTATCATTACGAAAACAGACAAAAATCTGGCTTTGAAATGCCAAAGTTGACATAGGTTTTAACGTCACCAGATCTCCACATACGAATCAAAGTATGTTCTGTAGATCTATAAAATATCGAGTATATTGTATTATATTACAAAATATGTTTTAATCTTTATTTACTATTTTGATGATTTACGTATCCTCAAAAGAGGAAATAGTCGAAAATCATATACCGTCAATGACAAAACTAAGCTATTTGGTAGGAGCGTATTTATATTTGTAAACAATAATTTAACCGTATAAATATATATATATATATATATATACTGATATATATATATATATATATATTATCTGATTAGGTGATATTCTTTCATTTCTTTCTCCATCAGCTCCGAATGAAATTGTGAAACCAATAGTTTCTGATGACGCCACCGACAGTAACGGAATGCGCGAAATAACCGTGACCAAACCTGATGAAAGCAACGGTTTAATGAGGTTTGTATTTTGAGAATATATACAACTACTAAAAGGCACTATACAAAGAAAAATAGTACAAATAAATATAGCTGTATCCCCATATATAACTTTAATTCATTCCTACACGCCATAAAGCGCACCTCGAACGACGCTATCAAATTCAACAAATCGAGCGTATATATGCATTATTTTAAGTTAGTATGCTATAGTATCAACTTGTGTTATGACAAGAAGGTGGTTTTTGCCACCATAATGGACGAAGCAATTTCAAATATGTAAAAATTATTGATGGGTGAAGCTGTCGTTACAAGGCTAATAATATTATTAGCGACGCATAGTTCACCCAAAATTTCGTTTTTTTTTTTAATTTGAAAACGCCACTTCATTGGCACTCAGTACAATATTTTAACATTTGGCTGGAATTTGTTTAGGATTGCGTTGATAGTATTAGTCATTTGACCTGTGTCACTATATTTTTCCATCGTTATGTTTATTTTCTAAATATTTTCATTACCTTTAGCTGTTTATTCATCATTGTAAAAGATGAATCGTCTGACGGAAATATCAATTTCAGCATGGAGAATTTGATTACGGCGCAGAGCTCAACCACAGAATACATCGCTGTAGCCTTGCCAGTTTTCAAGTACGCCGTAAAAATATCGTTTATAATTTCCAGGCAAATCTTAAAAAACATACGAATGTAGTTGCCTGCTTGAATGAGTCAGCAAACCATTCGCATTTATTTTTATTGTAATTTCCTCATGAATTACAAATTGGAATATTTGGAAATAAAAATTGAGTTATCTACTCAAATATTTGAAAACAATAGGGTTGTTTTGACCTGGTGGCTATACATTTCGCTTCTTGGACTACTAACTTATTGGCGATGGTTGCTCTTAGTGAAGAAAACAGCTTTTACAGTACTCCGCCTTGCGTCGAATATAAAATTATATCTATAACAGACATATTTATATAAAAAAAAACTCGCGCTATAAAAAAGGATAGTTATTTTTTCTTTTACCATCCACATCGCAGATTCACTGGTGATAAAAAAGTTATCAAGCTTGGCAATGAATCAGAATCTTCTTGTAACGTCTCTCAAACACTTGAAGCCATGTACAATAAAAGAAGGCGGCGGAGAAGTATCCCAGAAAATACATTGCTTACTGGAAAAAATCGAAAATTGGACAAAGAAAAATCTTACAGGTAAAGTAGTTTTTGTTAATAACACAACAGTCGCTTGGAGAATGTTTGGGAAAGCAAAAGAGACAACCGAAAGTACAAGATATACATAATCAAACGATGCTCCCTACAAAGTTACTTTTCAGGGGCGTATATTTCCTTATTTTACCGTTCTTTTAATAAAGAAGCGGTGTACGCCGAAAATAAAGGATGTGCGTGATCAAACTATCTTGCTCAATGTTTCCCTTTTTCAACAGTGTGTTTGTTGTTTCAACAACGCCTTGTGGGAATGATATTTGCATCCAAACGAGTAAGCCAACACAGCTAAGTGAGTTATTTTTTATATTTTTTTCTAATATAGCATTGGACAGATAATTAAATACGAATATATCTCAGTTGCGGTAGACTTGTAGAAAGTTTCGATTTAGTATCAGAACATGTTTGATAAAATGATAATTGTGGAAAATCTGGCTGAAAAAGCCAAATCAAATTTACTTTTCGGGCAGTTCCTACAAAGAAAAATTGGTAGCCATACATACACGTTGCCAATCTAGAACTCCTAAAAATAATTTGTTGCAATAACATTAATGAAACGCGTTGCCACATTTTGTAACCAATTATTGTCTATCGAGTCGTACATAAAATGTTTAAACATGTTTCTTAAGGCAATACAAATGGTTTGCAATCATGGATAATTGCAGTGATTGTGGCCGGAGCTTGCTTATTGATTGCTGTGGTGATTGTGATTGTTGTAATCAAACGACGGTGAGCTCTTAGTTACAATACGGACTTACTCAATAAGGGATAAAAGTATTTGTCTGATCTTATTTCAAACTAATGTTAAGACTTCATATAATGATATTAAATTTGTGTGTACTTCTTGAATATTTTGTAACCTCAAAGTGAAAGTTACAAAATTGAGAAGAAATACGTCTGTATTTCCATAGCCGATTATACAAATCTGTAACACCAACTACATACTGTCATTTTAGCAATACGAAAAGTGGAACAAGCAAAATTATTTCAATGAACGAAGTTACTACAACGAGACCAAGTAACGGTAACGCGGACTCAGCTTCGTGAGTATTGTGCAGCTTCTCATAGGCCTACAGCAAATCATTAATTATTCTTACGAGAATAATTTCCTGCCATGCATAATTTCTGTTCAGATGTCTTTTTGTAAATTAAAGGTGTGTGGTAGAAAATTAGACGAGTCGTTTAAGACGTAGCGAGGTTGTAGTCTCATATCACAGTTGGAATTTTTTCTAATGACATTCAATATCATTATGCACAATCAATTTATTATCCATCTTTGCGGACAAACAGAGACGTTATTGACTCATTGTGCTGGTGAATTAATCAGCTATTACGTCTATTTGATTTTGCTGTAGGAAACTTCAAAATGAAGAACCAGCAACCGGTGGTTATGCGGAAATTGCAGTTAGGGCTACAGAAGAAAATGCCCCATCAACCTCGTAAGTTTCAGTATTGATTTCACCCGCCTAATAACGTAAATAAATTGAAAATATTTTTTCAACGCATCAGAAATTCTAAAATAATAGAATCACAAAGCGACAAAATTCATGCTGTCAATAACGGACAGCACTAAAGGCTTAAATACGGAGTTTCACTTTTAAGCACCTATCTACAGAAAAGATTATTACCTTTTGTTTTTCAGAGTTCAGCCATTTAGTAACTTTAACCACCACCACCTCACTAGAAAATAAATTTTATCCACTTTTTAGAGTTCAGCCTTTTAGTCATTATTACTATCATTATTTTGGACTGGTTTATGCTTCGTACGACATACAAAGTCATACATTTTTTCTTTTACAACAGAAAATTTCAAAACGAAGAAGAAGCAACTGATGGTTATACTAAAATGTCGTTCAATGGGATAAAAGAAAATACCATATCATTCCCGTAAATAATTGATTGCGTATTTTTATAGCCCAGTAGTTCGAATTTGGTAAATTTTTATTTTCAAAACATCCAAAAGTTTGAATAGGTAATAATAGTAACGGCAATATTTAACAAATTTCAAATTTTGATCTGTCACCAAGACTGAAATTCAGTATTAGCAAGTATCAACTACATGGTATCGAACGCACTCTTCGCACACAGTTCCTTTACGCCGAATCCTTGACAAACTCTTTATTTGCATATGCAATTTCGAAATTAGGTAGGAAAAAATTCTCATTTCGATTGCAACAAAGCATGTAGTACTAGCAGTTATATGTCTCATGAATTAATGGTTTCACATACCGAAGACTTTGTTCTAATTTTTATCAGGGAAGTACAGTTTCCAAAGGTACTAAATTAATTTTAGGTCAGTGAAATTTGAACCTGATGTATTTGTCATATTACAGGAAATCAAGTACACAAATGCAAACGAAAGAGAGCAAGCCTATCGCGCCTAACGAGCCGGTGAATGCAGAGGAAGGTGGATTAGCAATTTCTAATATTGTAAAATTCAGTAGGCGTAAAATATAGAACATTTGATAACTTATAAATGATCATAATAGTTCACTGGTCCGGACTAACACGATTTTCCTCAACCACATATACGGGAATTAAAATTGAATACCAAAAATATGGTACTTCTGTAGTATGCAAACCGATTAGGATTAGGCCATAATTTAAGGTACAAATACTGCGGGAGTCACTTGGCTAGTCCATAGAACTAAAATAAGAAAAATTGGAATTTAATTACGGCCAAAATCTAACACACATACTACATTCCGGTGTCCGTCATCTTGGATCGTATACTACAGGAGTACCCAAAATAATAATTTTGAAGTGACATTACATCTTAGGCCAGGGTTATGTAACCCAGGGTAGACTAGACAAATTAAAACAATTGTAATATCAACTATAATTCAACAATCATTTACAGACTCCAGTGCCTACGCGAATGTGTCGGCAAACCGTCAGGCATCAAATTCATCCGATACTTCTATCAGCACTTCTGATTTGGAAGAGGTTTATAATTCAATGAGAAAAAAAGAAAACTCGCAGTTTTTTGATCAATTTCAGGTTTTTGTAATTTATTTTTTCAGTACAAGATATTTCAACCCGATGATATGGCAACGTAATTTTCAACAACAATGAACAAAAATTATTAGATTACCTAGACTTCAAAAACATTCCAATAATATTTAACGTAGCCTACCTGTTTTGCTGAAAATAATTTTCTCCGCGTTCCAATATCCAGCCACAGTATTCTAGTCCAGTCCAGTATCCTATATCACAGGTCACTTTATATCGACTTAGCAGGCGGCCGTCAGACATTTGTTGATTAAAAATGTAAATAATACATGCAAACGCTTTATAAATTCAAATTATAATTAATTCAAAGAATCCTTCTGTGTCAAAAATAGCGTAGCATACGAAAATAAAAGACGAATCGAACAAAATTCCCCAGACTAATTTTTAGAACACATGCTTCTAGTAATTCAGTTGAAATGAAAAATTCCCATTCCATTCGTTGGCTTTACTTTTTAATATGATCTCTACTAATTATCTATCTCTAGTAAACTTTGGCTCTGGTTCCAAGTGACAACAATGCAACACAACTGTATGCTATATGGAAAACTAGCTTCACTTGACGTTAAACGCTCATTTCAAGCTACCTAAACAGTACTGTATACTCGAGTACAATGAAATGAGCGAAACATCATAAAAGTAGTCCACTTTACCAGGGTAAACCCCAGAAATTGCGGCACGATTTATATTTTCGAATGAGTAACGTTACCGGTACGGCCGTAGAATCTCATCCCACAAAAAAAGTAAAAACTCACATAATGCATTCAAAGCGACGGTTTAATTCAGATTACATGTGTCTCGTGGCCATATCAAGTTCCTGCAACTGTATTAGTATCATTCACCCACCCCACCTTAAGATGCCAAATGTTATACACGACTAATCTAACACAACAGACCTCTATCATGCTAGCAAAATCCTGCTACCCGAATACACGATTCCATAAAAAGTGCCCCCATTATAAAGTTTAGGATTTAAAAATATTTTAATCGCATTCAGCATATGGGACCTAACTTATTTCGTGTATAAATACAGGGACCACAATCTTGTGAATAAAATAGTTCCTGTTCGAATTTTGGGTCACTTGAACGATTTTTCAGATTATTTGGAATTTACTTTATTACGTTGTAATAAAAGTATTTTGTTAGGATACTGATCGAGTTTTTATTCAATTTTTTTATTTGATTGAAAAGATATTAAATATGCATTCATACGCCAAATATTTTTGAGTTCAAAAAGCAGATCCAAAGATAGATTTTGTTTAAAATTTGGATCAATTTGATGATTTTTGTGAAATTTACACTATTTTGTTGTATTAATGGTATTTTGTTAAATTTTTCTCTTAGTTGGTTTAATCATAAATGCTCTGTGTGACCAAATGCTAAAATACGTTCAAAGTTACAATTCTACGTCTCCGTAACGTGTTTCCTGTAAAATGCATTTGAAGCATTTTTGGTATGCCAGGGTATTCAGTTAGCTGTATTGTCCCAAAAGACTGCCAAAGTAACCTATAAATCGCATAGACTCTTTCAACTCAATATTGTTTGAAATTCCAATCAACTAAAGATTTTATTTGGACATTGTCCGTCTTTTGTGTCACGTTTCTGCGGACCGCTAGTAATCTTTCCGCGGACCGGTGGTTGCCGACCACTGCTCTACAGCGACCAGGGCAGTGGTTCTCAACTTGTAGTACGCGGAAGATGATCAAGTGGTACGTAAGCAGCAATGTTCCCTTTTTGTAGTATGTGTGCGCAGTAATTTTGGTGTGTGCGCACTTTTTTGGAAATGACTAATATTTGTGCAAAAACCAATGAAGAAATTTTGGCGTTTTAACCGGGTAATGGGTGGGCCAACAACAAACTTTCTCAACCTGCCAACCGAAAACATTGTTACATTACATTGAAATACGTCTGTGCGCAGTAAATCTATGCGTGTGCGCAGCCTCTGATAGCTGTGTGCGCGCGCACACCTTAGAAGGAACACTGGTAAGCAGCTTTGAACAATTAGCTAGCAACAATTACATTTTTGAGTTGGCCGAAATATGCCGACAGCGCTTCATCTTCCATACTTTGTGTATTTGCTGAACGGTCTTTATGTGAATTGAATATCTTAATTGTCATTATGTCTTCAAAGGAGCATTAATTTAGTTGCTGTAATCAAAAATGAGTCTCGCAAATGCTGTGATAGACTAGTCTACCCTAAGCTATCAGTGCATGTAAGCGCATAGGGTTGATTAGTTTTAATAAAAATGAGGATTTCAAACACGTAAACCAGCTTAAAAGCGC